CCACACGGCACTGTGCAGGCCTCCTGGCTTGGGTCTGTAGTATGACCTGCGTCCACACTGCACAAAAACGGAGCTCTGACCCGAGTCATGGCAGGGTCTTAGGACCTGGTCCCAGACTGGTTTGTGTGGATGGAAGTGGGGCTTGGGCTCAAACCAGAGGCCTGAATGTGACCAATTTTGATGTAAACATCAAAGAAATGCGTGAAAGCACTGTGCAGGCCTCCTGGCTTGGGTCTGTAGTATGACCTGCGTCCACACTGCACAAAAACGGAGCTCTGACCCGAGTCATGGCAGGGTCTTAGGACCTGGTCCCAGACTGGTTTGTGTGGATGGAAGTGGGGCTTGGGCTCAAACCAGAGGCCTGAATGTGACCAATTTTGATGTAAACATCAAAGAAATGCGTGAAAAGAGGCAGCAGCAGAAATCCCATTAGATACAGTCTGGGAGGCCCATGTTTCACTGATGCTGTTATTCATCACCATGCCAATCATCAATAACATTAAATTGTATATTTTCAGTCATGCAAATGGGCCTGCGTATCCGGCTCCTTGTAGACCACATGTTCTGAATTGTGATGTAGTTTGGCTCTTTGGTTTGAAAAGGTTGTCGGCCCCTGAGCTAGAGGGTCCCAGAAAGCAACCTGCAAGCACACTCTGCAGAGGAAAGTGACTTCCCCAAGGACACGGCCAGTCTGAGGCGAGGGGGAGTTTCTTCTCTGGTGTGTGGTCAGATTCTGAGCAGGTGAGCACGAACCAGCCGGCCGAGCCCCTGACAAACGTGCCGCCCCCCCAAGAGTGGGAGCCCAGGTCTCCTAGGTCTCAGTGACACGGCCTGGTGGCCAGGGCTCTGATGCCAGCCCTGTCGGGGAAGCAGAGCCTGGTGGCGGGGGCCAGACCCGGCAGTGTAGCCCTACCAGGGCTGGTGGCCTGGGGCAGGTAGCCTGGTGGCCAGGAGGGGAGCAGAACCTGTGATCGGCAGAGCTGGGTGTGGGCACTGAACCGGCAGGGGAGACTGGCCAGGCCTGCGGATGGATATTGGGAGAACTCCAGAGCCCATCAGCAGTGGGTCAGAATTGACCTCCCCTGGCCCGGCACACTCCCTGGTTCACGACAGGGCAGGTCCCGAGTGTGCCAGACCAGGGAAGTCCAACCTGCTCCTAGCTGGGCAGAGCGTGTCTGGTGACTTCAGTAGGCCCTAGTCTAACTGCTGCCAGTCCCTCCTGCCCGGGAGCAAGGGGTGTGTGTGGGAGGTGCCGTCGCTGCAGGAACCCAGAGGCATTCTATGGCACTGGCCGGGCGTGGGAAAGACTTTGACAGAGGTCCCGGAAGGAGCGAGCGAGCAGAATCTGCGTGGCAGGAGCTCTGAGGGCGCTTGCACTCACTCAGTTGTTAGTTCAGGATGGCGGCAGCCTTTAGCCATCTCACACAATCACAGAGCTTCCCAAGATCACACTTGAAGATCTAGTTTGTAGGCTGGGATTTTCAGAAAAACTGAAAGGAGCGAGGCATCCAAGTCCCAATGAAATTCAAAGGCACACAAGTGTCTAAATCCCTTAGGCTTCTTCAGAAATTCTTCCCCCTTTCATGCCACACTAGCCCAATGGGGTGGTAGTCTATGCGGGTGTGTCTACACTACCACCTAGTTCGAACTAGGGTGGTAGTGTAGACATACCCTGACTGTGGCTCCTATTCCCACCTGTACGAATGGAACAAGTCACACAAGGCAGACAGTTTAAGGAAATGCAACAAGACGCCCATCACCCCCAGAGAAGGCGTCAGCATTTCTTACCTGAGGTCTCTGGGGTCAGCCTTGTGAAGCCGTTCTTGGGGTCGCACTAAGGGGGCACAGGTGCCCACCTGTGTTGTCAAGGACAGCAGCAGCACTGAATGAGAACAGTCCTCAGCGGTGGTGTGTGCGGCTTAGGTACGAATGTGTGGGGGGGAACACAATGCATCCCCTGTCTTTCAGGGTGAGCTAGAGCACAATATATTGTGTTCCAGGGAAAAAGGGTTCCCGGCCATAGGGTCGGCAGGCAAAGACCGCAAAGGAGAGGAGCTCAGACACTGCAAATTCAGTGTCCATATTGCTCCCCCTCCAACCAGGAATCTGGTGCAGGAAGGAAGCGCAGGAGATAACTGATACCTCGCAGGGTCTGCGGGGAGCACACGTCCCTGGAGACGTCCATTAGCACAGCACGCCAAAGGGATCAATTGCGGGCTCTCACCCTGGGATTTGCTGTGTGCCGCGGTGCCTCTGGGCATTTACTGGTGCCAGAAAGTCGAGCCACAGATGTATTTTCTGAAGCCAGCCTCACGGGAGGTGAGGGCAGCGGTCTCATGGTGTTAGAGCGCCGGGCGGACAATGCCCACTGGGTTGGCAGGGGAAACTGAGTCACTCAGCGAAGTGGGGTGCGATGCGGGGGTGGGGCTGGAGCACGAGGCAGCGGCCCTAGCGAGGTCGGAGCTGCAGGCAAAGTGATGATGGTTTGTGAACTGTAGAGTGTCACTGTTTTGCATTGTGTGGGGCGGGTCAGAGAGACGAGCTATCCCCTCTCTCGGCTTCTCCACCTCTCTGCCTGGGAGGAATGCTTCCAAGGGCCCCCCACACGCTACCCCTTCCGTCCGGCAGGCTGTTCCAGTCAGGAGGAGGGGGTGCGGCATTTTCCTCCTTGGGGACAATCCTGTTCATTTCCCTGCACATGGGAGGAGGCAGCGTCCATGGTGGGGGAACACGGACCAATACAGACCCTGGCTCTTTATGATTTGTGTTGCAGGGACTCCTCCTGGGACCCACTGTGCTAAGGGATCAGGGCTCCGCTGTCCCAGCTGGTCTACAATCTCTGGCCTGAAGCCGTCTAAGGCTCAGGTCTGATACGTGTCTAAGCAGCTTGAATGCCCAGTTTTCATGAAAATTGCTGAGATAGGGATGCCCAGGGATGCCCACATGTGACAGTGACAAACTCGAGGTCTCCTCCAGTTCTAGTGTTCTGCAATTCCATGATTAATCATTCGGAAGAAACACCTTTCCTGCTTGAAAATGTGAATTGGACCAAAAAAAGGGGAACAATATTTATTTCAGTTTGGAATCCCAATTTTCCAGTCATTTTGCTTTTTCAGAAATTAAAATATTTGTTTGAGAGGTTATTTTCGGAGGTTCCCAGCACGGACGGGAGGGACTGCTTTGGAGGAAGGTGCTTGCCAGCCGGAGTCAAGGCATCAGGCGGGGGTGCACACAGACAGTTCTCAAGAAAAGTCACAATGGGGTGGAGGCCGAGGGGTAAAAGGAAGCAGAGAGCTGGGAACATGTTAAAAGCGCAGCACCGGGGGATGTAGAACTATGGGGTTAGAACGGACCTCAGGGCGTCTAAGGCCATGACCTCCCTGGGTCCTCTGGTCTGTTCTCTGACCATTCTTGGAGTTGGGGAGCTTTTCTGGGGGTCTGCTCTGCTGTAGTTGAACTTATCACCCCTTGTCCTGCCCTCGGCACTGAATGGGAATGACGTTTCTCCATTTTTATGGCAGCCTTTCAAGTATTTGAAGACTGCTGCCATGTCCCCCCCTTAATCTCTTCTTCTTGCAACGGTGTTACATTGCTGGCTTGTGTTGAGGGTGTGGTCGACCGCAGCTGTCAGCTCCCAGCCAACCCAATCATCCTCCATTCGGGATATAGGCCTTTTTCATGTCTTTCTTGTGTTTATCTTCCCCAAGTGTAGCACTTTCCATTGTGTTCAATTTCACTGTGTTCTTTCTAATCTTGTTCTCCACTTTACCAAGACCCCTTCGAATTTTAGCTCTACCCTCTAAATCTGCTCTACGTATTGAAATCTATTCCTACATCCAGATCATTAGTACGGACCCAGACCAGACCCCTGGGGAACCTCACATGCAACCTCACATTCCTTCAATAGGGACTCTGTTTGCCGTTGTTTAACCAACTATGTGTCCAGTTCATGGTGGCTCGGTCGAGCCTGTGTTTCTCCAGTTCCGTCGGTTGGAATGGTGTCCAAAGCCTTGCTGAGGTCCAGGTATATTAGGTCCACAACATCCCCCCTATTCATCTAACCAGTTATCCTGTCCAAGAAGGAAGTCAGGCTGGTTTGGCTGTGGCGATCTACTTCTCACAAGCTGAACGTTTTAGACGTTGCTCGGCTAGCTTCTCTGGCCACTGAGTCAGGCTGGAGATGGGTGTAAATAGTTTGGACTTGACCTGGGATTAAATTAATTGGGAAGACAGCAAAGATATTTGACTCAAGTCATTACTCTGTTCTACCGCATTTAATCAATGGTCATAGAAATGCTTCCCACCCCTCCTCTCGAGGTCCCTTGTATTTCTACTACTCTGTGATTCTATAATTTGATTGATAGATAGACATGGGGAGAGACAGACCAACCGTATGTGTCACAGACCAAGAGGCCCATCCCTGCTGCAGCATGTTCTGTGCCCGGTGCAGAGTTTGACGAGCTGATGAGGTCCCGGAGGGGCACTGAAGAGGGTTTAAAAACCTCTGCTCGCTCTGCACCCTGCTCACACCGGTCTGGACACTGCGGAGGGGCCAAGCTACATGTCTCGGAGGAAGGTGAGTCATAGCTACATTCCGAAAGGGCTTCAAATAATTCTAGCTCCAAGTCTTCTCCTGTGGGATGAAAAGGAACGTGCTGGGCAAGCCACATTCTGTTCTTAGTTACAGCGGTGTGAGTCTTGGGTATCTTCATTGACGCTAGTGCAGGCTTTGCTATTGTCCCGAATATTCCTCATTTACACCTCTGCAGCCCCTCTCTCGGCACTGGACTGGCTTACAATTACTCTGCATTTCTGAACAAGTCTCAACCGGTTCAGAATCGAAACCATCCATTTCTCCGACTTTATTTCCTACTTGTTAGATGTGTTGGGGAGAGGAGGTCAAAACATTTCCATCAAACTTCTTTTCAATGGAAAATTTGCAATTTCTAACCAACCAACCAAGCAAAAACTCCTCCACCAATCATATTCATAGCACATGTTTGCTTTCCACAAAAACAAATTGGGTGGGGGTTTAAGCCAGAAAACTGAAATTTTTCAGGTTTTTGATTAAAAGTAAAAAAAAAAAATTGCTAAAAAGTTAGATGAGAACTAAAAATTCTCTCCAAGATTAAAGAAAACAATGAAAGGCAAAACTTTGACAAAGTCTAATTTGGGATTGATTCTACAGTCCTTAGTGATGCAGAGTTGGGGTAAAGCTCCTAATCCTACTGCTTTAATACAGCATTTGGCTGAACCAAAAAAAAACTCAGCCAAAAAAAAAAAAAAAAAAAAAAATCAGGTTGGGTCACTGAAATGAAAAACTGGGGAAAAATACTTTCAGCGAACACAACTCTTTTGTTTAACCTAGAAACAAAGTCATTCAGGTTTCTACTTTTTCCAACCCTGTTTCTTCTGATTACATTTAGGCAACTTTAAAAACTGAAACATTTCAAAATGAAAAATTGAAACATTGTGTTTCCGAAATGGCACTTTTCGCCCACTCTCTCTGTCTCCGTCATGGATATCTGTCTGAAACTATTTGCCACATTCTGTTTGAATTGGCAGATCATTTCAGTTGACCCAAAACTGCATTTTTCAGTGGCTAAACTTTTCTCTGAACAGAGCTGCCCAGTGCAACTCACGAGCAGGTGCCACTCAGTGTTGGTGAGGCTGTGACCTGAGGGGTTTGGAAACATTGGTCCAGATCATCATCTGGAGTAAATCAGTCACTCCGCTGACATCACCAGGTGCCTTACGGCTGATGGCTCAAATGGAAATAGAAGCTTGGTCCCTTTTGCTCGAAAGAGGACGACGATTCGGTGGATTCTCCATGATCTGGAATTTTGAAACCAAGACAGGGTGTCTTTCAAATTGATTCTCTCTCCTTCTAGAAGTTACGGACTTGCTGCAGGAATCACTTGGTGTAATTACACAGCCTGCTATGCAAAAGGTCAGAGGATCATAATGAATTTTCCTGACTGAGAGTAACCTGTCCATAGATTTTATTTGCGTACAGCTGCTTGGCTTTAGTTTTTGGCCAGCTGCTCTCATGACACACTCCTGCTAGGAGTGGTGCACTGTCCTGTGTAGGGGCATAGAGCCCTCTTAGAGAGAATCATGCGATCTTAGAGAGAATCAATTGCGAGCCCCCTGGCTTTTAGTTCAAGCGCTTGAGGCTCATGCACTAAGCTCCAGAGGTTCCAGGTTCGAGTCCAAATGTCGCCATTCCACTCTTATCTCAGAGCCATACACATTAGGGAGGGGGAAACTGGTGGTAGGAAATCATCATTAAGTGGAGGGTTGCACCAGTAAATCCCAACAATTTGATTCCTTTCCCGTTTATCCTTTACTGCTGGATTAAATCCCTGTTCAGTCTGAGGGAAGGCACCAGGACCAGCCCTGATGCTGGTCAGAGATGCAGGGGATGAAATTCGAGGCAGGACAATTTCTAGGTTTAATAGTGTTCAGGGTCTTCCGCCTTCACTACGGCTCATTGGGAAGAATGGGAACACAGCCTCATGCCTGTATCTATGCAGTTTTTCCCTCAGGCCCGAGCGTATGGGAGGAATGATCACAGGGAATCACACACCGTGGACCCATTTCATCCTTGTGGGGTTTGCCGACCACCCTGAGCTACGCCGGGTGCTCTTTGTGGTGTTTCTCTTTTGCTATCTCTTCACTCTGACTGGGAACTTCCTCCTCATTCTCCTCACCGTGGCTGACGCAGCCCTCCACACCCCCATGTATTTCTTCCTCAGGAACTTGTCCTTTCTGGAGATCTCCTACACCTCGGTCACCCTGCCCAAAATACTGGCCACCCTCCTCTCAGAGAAGGAAGACATCTCCTTCCTCGGCTGCGCCACGCAGATGTATTTCCTCCTCTTCCTCGGCGGGACGGAGTGTTACCTCCTTGCCGCGATGGCCTACGACCGATACGTCGCTATCTGCCACCCGCTCCGTTACCCGCTCCTTATGAACAGGAGGGTCTACACCGGTCTGGCGGCTGCTTCCTGGCTCACCAACCTGCTGGTGTTAATGGGCCATGTTGCGGCCATATTCACCCTACCCTTCTGTGGCTCAAAGGAAATCAACCATTTCTTCTGTGATCTCCCCCCGGTGGTGAAGCTGGCCTGCGGGGACACCCACGGAACCGAAATCGCCATTCTCCTGGTTGCCCTCTTCTTCGTCCTGCTGCCGTTCGCGCTCATCCTCGCGTCCTACATGCGCATCATCACCACCATCCTGGGGATGCCGTCGGCAGAGGGCCGGCAGAAAACCTTCTCCACCTGCTCCGCACACCTCTTGGGGGTGACGCTGTTCTACGGGGCGGCCTGCGCCATGTACCTGAAACCCAAAGCCAGCCACCTGCCGCACGGCGACAAAGTCTTTGCTCTGCTGTACTCCGTCGTGACGCCCATGCTCAACCCCCTCATCTACAGCCTGCGGAACAAGGAGGTGAAAGAGGCGCTCCGGAGGTTAACTCAGAAAGTGTGCTCGGGCACCCAGGGTTTCTAATGCGTTCGAGCAGCCGTTCCCCCTTCCCAAACGCTGGCAGGCACCGTGCTGGGAGGCAGACCCCGCCCTCAGCTGCAGCCGGGTAGAGCTGGAGTTGCTCCGCTGATGTTAAAGGAGTCGCTCCAGGACAAAGCCCTTCTGGCTCCCTATGGGGGTTCTGTCTGCCCTGCTGGGGGAACTCCACTGAGGAGCGCTGAGACCCTGTAAAGACAGACTGAAACGGGGCTAATCGGACCTGGGAGTCCAACCCTCACCTAGAGCTTGGAAAAAATCGGAGTTTGCACGTCTGAAAGGCCAGGGCGAAGTGTAACGAGTGGCACTGAAGAACCTGTTGTGCTGGAAAATGTCCCACTGAAGCCAAGAGACCATTCACCTGGCCAAACTGGGACATGATCCAAAGACTCCGGGGATCGGAGGGAGGGATGCAGGCTTCCTTTGCCAGCTACCCTCGTCATGGGGGGAGGGGAACAAGCTCAGCAGGCTGCTGCATGTCCTCAGGGCGAGGGGTGGGAGGTGGTAGAACTTGGATCTATTCCCCCTAACTTGCAGGCTACTGCCACGGTGACCGCCCACCACGGGAAGTACGGTGAGCCAGGCACAGACCCCAGTGCAAGGCTTTCCCTCCTCAGAACGCAGAAAAATGCACGAAGAAAACTGGGGCGCTTCAATCCCCAAGCAAGCTGCCCAAAAGGGTATTTTTCCTTGGAAAATAACGTTTAATCCAAACGCATTTCTTTTCTGCCAGAATTTTTCATTGTAAGATGAGCAGCCGCGCAAACTCCCATCACATCTCCCCGATTTCTCCCTGTGTCTCAGTTGGCGAAAGCTAGAAAACAATCATCAGGACATAACAGCCAGACGGGGTCAGACCAAAGGTCCAGCCAGCCCAGGGTCCTGTCAGCCTGCAGTGGCCAGTGCCAGGTGCTCCAGAGGGAAGGAACAGAACAGGGAACTGTCCACTGACCAGCCATTCCCAGGCTGTGACAAACGCAGGCCAGGGACGCCCGTCCTGGCTAACAGCTGTTAGAGAAGAAACAGGCAACCCAGGAGTGGAGGGGTAAATGGAATGGCTTTACTGCCCACACACATTTACCTTGGACGTTTAACACAACATCCCAGTGGCAACAAGCTGGCGCCAATTACACCTTGTGTCTATTTTAGTATGTTAATTTACAGGTTTACTACTACTTATTTAGTACTGTTAACTTTCATAAAATGAATATTAATAAACACCATGCATATAATTATACCTGCCCCTGATTGCTATTAACAGCATTTTTATTTGGATTAACACTTTCACACTAGAAACTTTTAAAATCAGCAGGTTACAGCAGCAGCAATGAGGATAAGCAAAAGACACAACAAAGATCAGCTGCATGCTTATCTATTTTTCTAGGCTGCAAAAATGAAGGGAAAGCGCATATTCAAGGGGAATGCCTGCTGTGGCTGAACTCCATACTACTATCCCAAGCCCCTATTCATTTTACACATTACATGAATCTGTCCTCCATGAATTTATCCAGCTCTTTACTTGAACCCTGTTCAAGTCCTGGCCTTCACAACATCATCTGGCAAGGAGTTCCACAGGTTAGCTGTGACTCCCTTTTGTTTAAAACCTGCTACCTATTAATTTCATTTGTGGAGGGAAGCTTTTCCGAACCCCGATCACTGTTGCCATTTTCTGAATTTTCCAGTGCCAAGATACCTTTCTTGAGACGAGGCAACCACATGTGCACACAGTGTTGTAGGATCCTGTGTTGCCTCCTCTGCATCCATAGAGGGACTATGACATTGTGGAATGGAAGGAGCGGGTGGGAGCCCTCACTAGGCTGCTGGTGGCTGTTTTCCTATAAGTACGTGTGGAGGCCATGGTAGTAACGTGGTGCTCTTACTCCCATTGACCCCAGGGTCTGTTGGGGCTGATGCAAAGCCAGGCTTTGTACAGGAACTTTTACCGTGCTTCAAGGTGTAAGGTAGTTCCCCTCAGAGAAGCCAGAGTGCGCAAAGTCTGAAAAACCCCGTGCAAGCACCATCTAGTGGGAACAATTTTGCTGTCAAAGGGAGCCAGACACCTAGTCTGCTTGGATGCTGTTCTGGTTCAAACAGGAATTGCTTCAGGGATGTTCTGTGGCCTGTGTTATAGGAGGCTGTACGAACACAGTGGTCTCTCCTGACTTTGTAATATAAGGATACCTTTGCAAATCCAAGCATATGGCCAGGTTTATACAGGCGGAGAAAATAGATGCAAGACATGGCAACTCCAGCTGTGTGAATTGCATAACTGGAGTAGACTTATTTTGCCTCCATTTTCTTGCATGGCCCCACAGTGGGAGGTTGATGGGAGATACGCTCCTGTTGACTTCCCTTACATCTTGCAACAGCGAGCAGTACCACAGTCAATGGGGTTTGATTTAGCGGGTCTTTACTCAGCGTTCAATTTAGAAGGTTTTTACTAGACCTGCTGAATCGAACTCCGGAAGATCGATCTCTAGAGCATCGATCCTCTGGTAAGTGGAGACAAGGCCCAGGTGATTTAGATACACAAGCCCCATGAACACATACAAAGTATCTTGGATGCATTGTCAACCAGATTCAAATATCTGATTTCTCTGAATTCGACCTGTATCGCACAGCATCATGCTTATTAGGGGTGGTAAGATCTCACTACTGGCTGCGACAGTCGAAACCAGAGGGGTAGAGCAGGACCTCTGTCCACGCGAGCTGGTGCTGAGGCTGGAGGTTTCCAACTTCAGTGTGGATTTGGTTCTCAACTCACTGAGGTTCTCCCAGGAACCCTGCACATGTAGCTAACTTATGAAAACATAGGTTAGGAAGCTATCCAGGAAATATTTGGCCTGTAAAAGGAATTTTTAAATGAGGCAGAGGAGGTCAAAGGGTACATTTTATCGTTTTTATCCCGTGCTTCTCACGGGTTACAAGCTGTGAGCTCTTCACAATATTGGGCTAGATCAGATCCTGTTCACACTTGATTAGGAGGAAGCCTGTTGCCCTGACTCTTCCCACGATTACGCCGGTTTGTGCTACGTCGCTGGAGTTCCTCCTGGATTACCGTGGTCAAAGAGGAAGCAGAATTTCACCGAGTGAGGTGCATCTACACAGCAGGGCTTAACTCGAAATAAGCTATGTCAATTGCGTAGCTGATTTTGAAATTGGAAGAGTCTTCACAGCACTTGTTTCCAAATAGAGGACTCATCCTCCGACTTCCCTTGCTCCTTGTACAATGAGAGTTACTGGAGTTGGAGTAAGAAGTGCTCCAGCTTGACAGTACTTCGACATTATTTCAGAATAACCGTCTGCTGTGTAGACGCGGAGTAAGTTGCTTGGAAATAACATTAGCTATTTCGAAATAGTGTTGCTATGTAGACGCACCTGAGTTACTCTGGGCCTAGTTCTTTCTTACCCAGTGCATCGCTTCACACCTGTGCAGCAGTAGAAGGGGCCTTAAGATAGATGTCCCTGGAATTTGCAACCCCTTAAACTGCCAGAGACGTGTAATTGT